TATGAATTATGAGTGATAAGTGATTATGCGTGATAAATGCATTAAGTCATGAATGTCATGCATCATATGCATTTGTGTTTTTGTGATGGGTATGATACATAATACATTGTTAGGGAAAGCCCCCTTATGTTAAATTTTGTGGATTAGTCCTTAGGGAGAGTTTAGTTTGGAAAGCTTCAATCTTGTCCATTATGTGCATGGGGCATATCTTACGTGGTCCAACTATCTCGATGAGATCCTAGTAGTATATTCTTCTAGTGAAAGCGTTGTGATGGCTTAACTCAACATGTACTCTTAAATTACTCAACCTTCGAACAAGGATAAATGTGTTTTTATTGGTGTCAAATGCATATAGTTTAGGAGAGTCTAGTCTATGTATGATCATACCATTTTGCTTGTGTTTGAATAGTTTTTTGATTGATGTCATGATGGAATGAGATATAAATTGAGTTGAAGTTATTATATGGTTTGATGAGAAAATTAATTATTGGTGTTACATAATGTTGTGTGTGGCTACTTGGCCTTATTCTATATCGGTAGTCGGCTCACTCCCCTATTTTCCTTGTGGACGTTTTATATGTGGTTGCAAAATGCTTTCTTTTTGGGAGAGTCTAGTTGATTGAAGGGACAACTCTAATACTTGTGATGTCAGGGATCCTAGGTTATGTTTCATGCTTTATGTTTTAAGAATATAGTTTGCTTCCCGTAAAACATGTCTTTTTAAGTTTGTAATAGCTAAGCGTTATTTTAGTTTTATTTGAATTTCAAATGTGATACTCTTTATCTTTAGCTGAAGCTATTCCAATGTCATATTTCCTTTTCATGATTATTATATTTATTTAATTATGTATGTGAGATAAAAGATATCACATTTAGTGGTATCAAAATCTGGTTAATCCAAATCAAACTTGTGTGTTATGTGTTTTTACTATGTTTCTGTGTGTACTCTCACACATAATATTTTGTTGTGTGATATAACTGCAAATCTTTGTACGCCTTGTTGAATGACAATTATAATGCTCTTGTTAATAGAAATAATGTTTTGTGTATCAACTTAATAACTAATAGAAATGATTGTATTGTCATTGATGCTTTTCAAGCATTAACACATGTTTTAGGAGTTGATAGGACTCATGTTGCACAAATCAAGAATTACGCCCTATCGACCTTTGGGTCCTAAGAGAAGAATGCTTTTCAACTAAAATTTGTCTACCTCCAACAACAATGTTAAACATACACTACTAAAAGTCTAATGTTACATTACTAATATATTATATTTTAAAAATAATCTCACAAATTAAAAGAATACAATTGGATAAAAATAAATATATATTTTATTTAAAAGAAAACTAATTTTTTTAAAATATTTTAACATATTCAACAATTAAAAATTGGAATATATATTAATATTTTTCATACGTGTATATACGAATCCAATTGTTATCTATACTAATATATAAAGGGGATACCCTTTTTGGTAACTACCTTGGTCTTCACTTTTTTTTGGACCATTATACTTTTTTATTTTAAAAAATTAGAAAAATTATTTTTTAATTAAATTTAAGAATTTGAAATTAATCAATCATATTTACAATAAAAACTTTTGATTTTTATTTTTACATGAATCATTTTATTCTTTATTTATTTTTTAATAACTACTTTTTTATGAGTAATTTCTCATTTTTTTTAATTTTTTTTTAATATAATGAAGTCACGGAGTGTCTTTTTCTTGCTAACGAGAAATAGAGTAGAAAGAAATAGAAGATAATAAAATAAGTAAGTAAAAATAAATAAGAAATAAGATAAAAATGAATTTATTTAATTTGAAAAAAAAATAATGTTATAAAATTGAGATGCAAGTCTAATAAATGCAAACTCCGCAAATAACAAACATACCAGTTCGAATAAAAAAACTTACATTCAAATTTAAGACCCACAGGCACGGGAGAAAAAAAATTTTGGTACAAAAGTGTAAGAAAAAATAACTTCTCTTCTCTCTTCGTCATTTTCATTGAGAAGAAATTTACAAATGTAGAATCTAAGTCCATAAATTTCTTATTTAACACAACTCTTATTAAACAACCTAGTAAAAAAAATTTCATTTAAGTTATTTCCTCTCCACGTCATTTGGCTCAAAACAAATAGTGTAATGAAATTATTTCAACATTTCTCCCCAAAATGAGGGTCACTTGTATATTATAAAAGTTCTTTATAAAATAAAAGAATAGAATTAGAATATATATATATATATATATATATATATATATATACCTTTAAAGATATATATATATATATATATATATATATATATATTATGATTCTTTACGGTGAAAAAGTAACAAATTCTTAAATTTTTATATATTTTAATATTTTTCATTTGTGCCTAAATTACATGATATAATATTTAAGATTGTTTTATTATGGCTGTTAGAATTTCAAGAATCACACCGTTGAAATTATAAATTTGATATTTATTTTTGTGCGCTATTATTATTATTATTATTATTATTATTATTATTATTATTATTATATAATTCATATAATGAGTTCTTTTTAGGAGAAAATCAAGTCTCTCTCTTTTTCTTCTAATAACCTCTATCATAAAATTGAGAAAAAAAATAAAATTAAAGAATCCTTTAAAAAAAATGTATTTGAGATTTTTTTTAAAAAAATTATTATTTTGTTTAATTAAGCATAATTTTATTAACTTATACAATATAAAAATTAATACAACTTATACAACATAGAAAATGTTTAAATATCATATCACACAAAGGTTATATATGGCCGAGAGCCTTAGAGACTTATGACTCATTTATCAAAATATAAGAACTTGCTTACTTATTCGTTATCCTTCGCCTACTCTTTTCAGCCTCTGTCTTATATTTAACAAATTAATCATAAATCCTAAGGATCGGAAAATATTGGATCAATGGTTCATAGCGTTCTGTTGTACAAGATCCTCTTAAAGAGGCGAGTACAGAGCATACTTGCTCAAACATGTACTACTGAGAGCATAATACTATAATAGGATCAAGAGTTTTCGAAATAGAGGAAGAGAGGTTTAGCAATCCATGAGTAATAAACACACAAGAGAATTTTATTGTAAACTCGACTTGGTTACAAACTGAAAGAGAGCCTCCTTATATAGACTCGGAGGGGATCTCGTGAGGCTTACAAACAACAAGCATTTTACACATGGGCCAATTCTGATTGGCTCACTAAAAGTTAAATACAATAAAGGACCCTCGTGGGGTGTGACTCATACAACTAGACAAACTATTATGACTCAGACGATAAGAACGGGTACAAACAGAGGACCTACATGGTCATGACTCATATAAAATACAAGCTGTCATACACTTATTACACACTGATGGCAGACATGAGGGCAGACAGTACTAAAAGTAGATTCTCATTATTAGCCCCTTTTGATAATGGGCTTGTGACTAGGAGAGAGATTCGAATCTAATGCATCTGAATCGGAACAGTTGTCTATCATCAATTCAGCATAGTAATCATCTTCGTTGTTTTCTCCTAGATCATTAGCTGTCTGGAACTGTTCATCGGGCACGTAATACTCAGTTCTGCTCATGAAAGAATTGATACCCTGATGGCTTGACTGGGTAGGAATGAACCGACTTTGTGATGAGCTGGATTCTCCTTGGCTCTTTTGTTGGATTTTTGCTTCCTTGAGATGGTTGATCAATTGTGTCCTGTAACTCTGATCTGGTGGATATGCCTCAAAGGTTCCCCAGAAATAAGTTTCATTCTTAGACCACAGTTTTCCTGTTGGTTTCTGGAAATAAGGGCGGCTGATGATGGCTATGGAAGTCAAAGACTCACATTGTTTTTTGCTTTTCCCCATTTGATTCTTTTGAAAATCAATAACCTTTTTTAACTCACTTCTCCACCATGGGAGAGGTGAAAACCATTCTAATAAAGTCCAAAATAAAAATTCTGCCTTGTCTGGATTTATCAGAATATTGTAAGCTGATTGCGTCTTCAGGGCAATTGCAATTGGATGTTGGACAGTTTTACACCATAAGGCCCAGAGAGTTGGTTCACACAAATCCCAACCAACTTCACAGAATAATTCAAAAATTCCAGGATGGTCTTCTGTTGGATCAAACATGGATGGAGGGACGATTTTAAACTTTAAAGTCTCATGAAGATAATAAAAATAATGAGCTTTAGCGAATTGGATAATTTCTTCAGGACTATTAGGTTTAAAACCAGGAGGATATAGCTTTCTTGTTTTTGCAGTATCAGGTAATGGTTTCACCATGAAGATTAATGGAAAGCTATAGGTGGATGATATGATTATGACTGGGTTTTGAGGTCTCGACAGGAAATCAGGAATGAGGTTGTGTTTTCCTTTGATATGTTTAACAGTGAAGTCATACCTAGAAAACCAATTTTTCAGTCTTAGGATCTGAGGTTCAGGTGGCAGTTTGTTTTTGAAATCCAGAATTTTGGGGAAAGAGGAATTATCCATTTGAACTTCAAAATGATATCCTCGCAGGTGAAAATCAAACTTCTTCATTCCATTCTTTACAGCCAGTGCTTCCTTGTAGGTGGTGTGATAATGCTTTTCTGCTTCTTTGAATTGTCCACTAGCATGTCCAAAATAGAATTTTTTCCCGTTTACTTCTTCAATGAAAACAGCACCCCAGTAATGATCACTTGCATCTGTCTGGAGGATTCTTTTTCCATCTCCTGGGATCTTTAATGCAGGAGGATTCTGTGCAATCTTTTTTATTTCTTGGACAGCCTGGGTTTGTTCTGGTCCCCATGGAGGGGGATCTTTCTTCAACATTTTTTAGAGAGGGCTTGTGTATCTAGCAACCTTCGGAATAAAATCTCTGATGTAGTTTATGATTCCAAGGAATTGTTGAATCTGTTTGACAGATAGATTTTCTTCAGGAAAGTTGAGCAACTTTTCAGCAATATGAGGTTGAGGTTGGTAAGTTCCTTGAAAGAACTTCATCCCCAGGAAGTCAATTTCCTGTTGGGCTAACTGTATCTTCTTTTCTGAAAACATGATACCATACAAGTTTGCTCTTTCCAGGAATTGGCTTAAAAAGCTTTTTGTGACTCTCCATGTCTTTGGAGAATAAGATAATATCATCTATGTAGATGATAGCATTATCTAAGAGCGGTTCAAGTATCTTTGTTATTGCTTTCTGGAATAGTGATGGTGCTACCTTCAAGCCGAAAGGTAGGACAGTCCATTGATACTGTGCATTGGGTATGCAGAAAGCTATCTTGTGCCTTTCACTGGGATCAACTCCTAACTGCCAGAATCCGGATTTGAGATCAAATTTAGAGAATATTTTTGATTCTTTTAGCAAGATAGGCAGGGTGGATGCCTTGGGTAGTGGAAACTTGTCATCTTTCAAGAAATGGTTGAGAGGCTTGTAGTCAACGACTAATCTTTTCTTTCCTCTGAGTCTTTCTGATCTTTTTTCTACGTAGAAATCTGGGCACGCCCAATTTGATGTCGTATGTTCAATGAGACCTTGTCTGAGCAGTTCTTGACATTCTTGTTTGGCAAGCTTAAGATCAGATGGAGACATGCCTGGATGGGATGCTTTTGTGGGATTTATGTCCTCATTTAGCTTGAATGGCAATTGTATAAAGAAATCAGGATTCTTCCAAAGTGGTTTTGGATGAGTGAAATCTTTATGATTATCAGAACATAAAGACCTCAATTGTATCTTGATTTCTTCCAATTCTGGTGGAGCTTCAGAAAGGGAATATAGCTTACTGGTTGGCACGAAAGGCTTAAATTCTCCTTTGAATCTGAGTCCACTTGGATGAATGAGTAACCTGTGTGCTTGAGTGAAGACATCCATTCCAATTAAGATATCTTTGTTAGGCAACTGAGTTCCAACGAATTTAGACAAAATTATGCAGTCTTTGAAGAGACGAATGCCTATTGGTGCTCGTGAAATGACTTCTGTTCTGAAGGTCTTTCCGTCAGCTGCTATGAAGAAGGTATCTTCCTTCCTCCAGAAATGAGGTGGCAAGATTTCTGGATTCATCATAGTCTTCGAGGCACCTGTATCAAGGAAACCTATGACTTTGATAGGCTTCTCATACTTAGATGGTAGAATTTCAATTTCCACATTGGGGTGTGAAGGAACAATAGTTGTCATACTGTCGGATTGTTCGACAGCGAAGATAGGAATTGGTTCTTCCTCTTGACTATAGTCATTTGTATCACAGCTAGAGTCATTTGAGAAAGAATCTTGTAGGGCAAATGCAGTATCTTCATCTGCAGAACTCTGTTCTGAGTAAAGAGACTCTACATTATCTTGGTCATTTAGATGTAACGACGTAATCATCTTTATGGCCTTTTGAGCTTTGTTTGGGCAGTTCTTAGCAAAATGTCCTTTTTTTCCACAGATGTAGCATCTTTGACCTGGAGTTTTCCCACGAGTCTCTTTCTTCTTAAAAAACTTATAAGGTTTTTTATAATGTTCTTTTCATTTAATCTCTAAAAAGGGTTTTCTATAAGCTTTGGCATACTTCCCTTTATCTTTCAGCATGTTTGAGAAGTATTCATGTTGTCGACAAAGCTTGTCTACGACTTCTTGGGTCATCTGGTGGATTCGACCCATCGTCAATCCTGTAAAGTCTTTGTTCATGGCAGCAGCCATTCTGGCTGAATTTCTACAGGAAGTGAACTGACATAAGTGCTCTTCAAACTTGGATCATTAAGACCATTAAGAAGATAGAATCTTTTAAGCATTCTGAGATAATGCTTATCAAGATCTTTCATTTTAAGTGAACAACACTTCATCTCAAAGACTTCTTGTTTGATCTTTCTGTCTGTAAGAGCTCTATCTCCTATGAATTCTTCATGGAGCGCACCTAGGACTGCAGATGTATTTCCTAGTTCATGAAATGTATTTTGGCCAACTGGTCCCAAGTTGGCGTACCATTCCTTTAGGATTCCAGTCATCCTACATCTGAATTCTTCAATGATCTTGTATGACTCAGTATCTCCTTTCATGAATCGGGTATCTAGCCAAGCACCAAATTCAATCAGTCGAGATCTCCATTGGCTTGGATCAACATCATCAAGAGTGAACCAAGGGCCCCTAGTTGGTTTGACAGTTCCATTCCCATTTCTAATACTCTGTCTGGGACTCTCTTCAGGGGATTCATAAATAGGATCTTGTCCGGTAGATGATGCCATTAGAATAGAGAGATTTGCTAACTGTGCTTCTGATGAAGCTGTAGTAGTAGAATTGGCTTCAGATATATCTGTGAGAAGATCATATTCAGATCTGGTGTCTTCAGATGATTTTGCGGTGGCGTACTGTTCATCCCTTTTGACAGTACCAAAGTCTTGGCTAATAGGCATTTGAGAGTAAGGATCTTGAGAATCCTGGAAGTAATGGCCTTTTCCAGAATCATGCCTTTTTGGGGATGAAGCAAGGGTAGAAGATTTAGAGTCATCTTCTATTGATTTGGAGATTTTCCGCGAACTGGATTCCGTCTTTCGCCATTGCCAATTTGCAGAGGCGGTGGGTAAGTTGTAATGTGGTCTTTCAGGTTTAGACCAAGAGACGGATGATGGTTTGAACAGAGAATGAGACACGGGTGCAAGAGGGTGTAAGAATGGGTATGGATCGTTAGGAACTGGCTGAGGCTGCAAAGCCTTCTTCTTTTGCTCTATCTGTTCTTCCAGTTGGAAGAGTTGAGCTTTTAGACTCCTGATTTCTCGATCCTTTTCATTAATTGCTGCACCAAAAGGAATGTTCTTTATTTCATTCTCTAGTCTAGAAATTCAGCAGTCAATTGCTGGTAATATTTCTTCATCTTTGATGAGAAATAGTCCAGCTTGTCTTCTGATTTTTTCATACTACTTGACATTTTTGTAACCTTGTCATCAATCCTCTTCAGCAGGGAGTTCTGTGCTTGAGCATTTTCTGTTTGCCAATTAAGAACTTCTTTTGCCTGACTCAGCACCTTCGATTTCCCGTCAGTACCAATCTCGGAAGGAATGATGGTGGGTTTGGTGGAGTACCGTGTGTTGGGATTTATTTTCCTCTCCAAAGGAGGAAATTCTACATCTTTGTTTGCTTCAGAAAACATGAAGCATGGTGTTGGTTTAGGTGTAGGAGGAGAAAACCTTTTCACCTCATTTGAACACCTTGGTGAGATCACGCTGAAGGAAGATCTGCTTTGTTGATTGGGTTGTCTGTTGAAAGAAGGCTTGTTTTGTGAATCTGACCTCTTGTTAGGTCGAGGTGGTGACTTACAGGGTGTATTCCACTCCTCATCGTCACTGTAGTCACTGTCTGATTCACTATCATCTTCTTCACTGGTGTCTCCTGAGTGCATCCAGCAATCGCACTCAGGATCGCACATTTCTGGGGCAACATCCCAGATGAAGTGACCGTTAATTTGGTCAGTATAGATTTCTCTCCCATCTGCATGTACCGCAAAGATGGGAATTCTTTTTTCCTTGACGAAGGGTTCTAACATCATTGTTTGAAAAATTGGACCTGAGGCTTTCTCAGGTTGTTGAAAGATTGTTCTGACCGTTCCGTCGACGGATCTTCTGAAAGTTGCTTGATCCGTTTGGATTGGCTTTCCATGGTGCTTATGGAGATTCTCATAATTTGTCACCCATTGTAATGGGATGAGCTCCTTCAGCTGTTCCCTGGAGATATTCCTAGGAACCTGGACGATCAATGGACTTAGAAGGGGGGCAGTGCTCTCAGAGATCTGAGCATCTTCAGGGACATATGAAAATTCAACTAGGTTTTCAATCTTTGGTGCTAGAGTTCTAGAGACATGGTTAGGTAGAGATAAAGAGGTATTTAGGAAGGCGGGTTGAGTTTCTGAGGTAGGATTTTCCATGGTAGTAAAGTCTCTCTTCTACTCACTCTATCCTCTAAAATAGTATTTTGGCTAAACAGGTAACAAATGTAGTATATTATAAGTAAGAATAGTTATCCATAAATGATGAAATTTTTATGTGTTTTTAGGTATTTATTTTCAATAGTCCAGCTTGTCTTCTGATTTTTTCATACTACTTGACATTTTTGTAACCTTGTCATCAATCCTCTTCAGCAGGGAGTTCTGTGCTTGAGCATTTTCTGTTTGCCAATTAAGAACTTCTTTTGCCTGACTCAGCACCTTCGATTTCCCGTCAGTACCAATCTCGGAAGGAATGATGGTGGGTTTGGTGGAGTACCGTGTGTTGGGATTTATTTTCCTCTCCAAAGGAGGAAATTCTACATCTTTGTTTGCTTCAGAAAACATGAAGCATGGTGTTGGTTTAGGTGTAGGAGGAGAAAACCTTTTCACCTCATTTGAACACCTTGGTGAGATCACGCTGAAGGAAGATCTGCTTTGTTGATTGGGTTGTCTGTTGAAAGAAGGCTTGTTTTGTGAATCTGACCTCTTGTTAGGTCGAGGTGGTGACTTACAGGGTGTATTCCACTCCTCATCGTCACTGTAGTCACTGTCTGATTCACTATCATCTTCTTCACTGGTGTCTCCTGAGTGCATCCAGCAATCGCACTCAGGATCGCACATTTCTGGGGCAACATCCCAGATGAAGTGACCGTTAATTTGGTCAGTATAGATTTCTCTCCCATCTGCATGTACCGCAAAGATGGGAATTCTTTTTTCCTTGACGAAGGGTTCTAACATCATTGTTTGAAAAATTGGACCTGAGGCTTTCTCAGGTTGTTGAAAGATTGTTCTGACCGTTCCGTCGACGGATCTTCTGAAAGTTGCTTGATCCGTTTGGATTGGCTTTCCATGGTGCTTATGGAGATTCTCATAATTTGTCACCCATTGTAATGGGATGAGCTCCTTCAGCTGTTCCCTGGAGATATTCCTAGGAACCTGGACGATCAATGGACTTAGAAGGGGGGCAGTGCTCTCAGAGATCTGAGCATCTTCAGGGACATATGAAAATTCAACTAGGTTTTCAATCTTTGGTGCTAGAGTTCTAGAGACATGGTTAGGTAGAGATAAAGAGGTATTTAGGAAGGCGGGTTGAGTTTCTGAGGTAGGATTTTCCATGGTAGTAAAGTCTCTCTTCTACTCACTCTATCCTCTAAAATAGTATTTTGGCTAAACAGGTAACAAATGTAGTATATTATAAGTAAGAATAGTTATCCATAAATGATGAAATTTTTATGTGTTTTTAGGTATTTATTTTCTTAAATATCATGACTTAAATTTTTTAATATTCATATAAATTTAAATTTTATACCAATTTTTTTTATCAAATTTATAAAAATATTTTTTAATTAATTTAATCTTATCTTGTAAATCCAGATCCTAATTATTAAAAAGTTAAAACAATAATTAGATTTTCTAGATCCCACATTTTTTTTATCAGAGGCATAGATGATAATTAATGTTAAAATTTTCTGTCGAATATTTAATATCAAATACCAAAGATTTGATTTTAAAAAAAATATTTTTGATGGGTGTTGTTTCTTTTACAATCCGGTTAAACAACTTTACCTATTTGATGTGTTTTGCACTTTTGCTGGGCACACAAGGGTTAGGGTTCCAAACCCGAAACGCACTTGCAAATTTTCTCATCTGCGCCTCCTTCACGCGTTGCTATCGTCCACAGGTAAAGTTTGTTACTCCCTTCTGAATGCATGAACCCTTCCTCCTTCCCGATTTCATATAAATATCCATTTTTATGCCTAATCTTGCTTCTGCAAATTTATATGTTAGTAGATATTAGTTTTTTTAAAAAAATAAAATAAAATTATTTGTTGTAGTGAAAATTAGCATCATCTTCCCTTCAGCTTCGGTTTTGATCCATTTACATTGCCTCTGATAGCAATGCAACTTGTAAGATTATACATTGACCCGTTCTAATTATATATATATTCGCTGAATTAACATGTAATTCTTGAAACATAAGTAGAAGAAAAATGATGGGAATATATATATTCCCAACTTCAGATGCCATAATTCTCCTTAAAACTTTGGTGCTCTGTTTGAATTGTATATGTGCTACAACAATGATTGTTAATGTTTAGGGCCTTCTTTTGTTACTCGTTGCTCTTCTGATTGTTACATTGGTTAGTTAAATTAAGGGCTTGGCTTGAGGTAGATTTGTGTCAAGTATTGAGTCAAAATGAGTAACGGGCTTACGACGATGAATGAGCTCTTGTTGGTTTTTGTTTTTTTTTTATTTTAATTTTCATCCTTTTAAATTTGATGTTGTAGATTCTAGTATAGGTTCTATACTTTTCCTTTTTTTATTGTAGGCCTTCAGATGACAGAAACTGTATTCATTCAGGACTCATCCTTTGCTCCTTTTTTATGAATATAAAAAATGAGAATCTAAATCTGAATTCTGAAATGAAAAAATGAAGGATCTAGCAACTGTGGTTTCAAATCTTGTGCCAGCTGGCCTGTAGTCTTCTTTTTGCAAGTGCTTTTCTTCATGTTTGTTGAATATTTCAGTTCTCACAAAAATTGTAACATGATATGCAGCTTTCTTTTAACTCCAATGACGAAGAAGAGTTTTAAAGCGACACCAAGCCAGTTGCAAGAGAATACTGTTACAGAAGAGGAGAAACCCTCTTCTACACCCAAAAAAGCAGGCAATGAAATTGATGAAATATTTGCTGGAAAAAAGAGGAAGAAGTCTGAAATGGAAAAGACTGGAAAACCTGGTGAAGTAACTAAGAAGACTTATAAAACAAAGAAGAAAAAGAAGAATGTGAAGAGGAAAACTGATGGGGCAGATGATGGTGAGTTTGCTGACCCACCTTCTCGACCAAGAAAGAAAACAGAGGATGGATTTTCCGTCTACACTGAAGAGGAGTTAGGTATTAATAATACAGATGCTGGAAATACTCCTCTCTGCCCATTTGATTGCTCTTGTTGCTTTTAATGCTAACTGTATACTGCTATGTGCACTCAACTTGTACCAGTGATTGGCAGTGTTTTGTTTGTCACTTACAGTCCTGGACTTGTAAGCTAGGGGCATGGCTTTTTCTTTTATATTTATAGTTGGGCCAAAAATGGCTTAAGTTATCATGTGCTAAACTTTTTAGATCTAGATATGATTCATTAGGTGATTTCAGTGGAATTTTTGCAGCAGTTATTCCTCCCCTGTAACACAATTGTTTATGCATAAAACTGGTGCCAGTAGGTTTGAGAAATTTGTTATAAAAGGGGGAGTGTACTGGCTGTAGAAATTTGTCTGTTATATATTTTTTAAATCTTGGTATTTTTCATGTTTAACCAGACCCAACTGATTTAATTTATGAGTTCTATATTTGTTTTCTTTTTAATTCTCTTCATACCACAAAATATTGGCCAACATCTTGCTTGAAACCTTGATAGTTGATAGAGTGAATTATACCTACACCTCTTGAGGTTTTGTGAGATTGCAGATAACCTTCCTGTTTTTTTAACATTTACAGCAACCTCCTTTATAGTGAGGCACACTGATATTTTTCAAATTATTAAGGGATTATTGTAATGTCTGAGAAATGTTGGTACAATATTTTTCAGATAATTAAGGAGGTTAGTGTAGGGGGTAGAAAAAGGAGGGAATTATCTGCAATCTTGTAAAACTTAGACTGACAGTGTAATTTACTCTGGTTAATATATCATTGTATTTAACCGCGTAAGTTGAACAGGAATGATTGTTTGCTCGAATGGTTGGTTTGGTTTTACTTTTACCATTCCAAAACACAAGTATTCCGGATCCTCTCCATTTGGGAGATAAATGGAGATATCCAGTTTCTGCATCTGGATAATGACCCATGGATAAAAAGTTTTAATATCAGATATTTTTTCAATAGTTGAACTTGGTTGGTGAAAAACACAAAACAAGACCCAACAAAAAAAAAATGCTTTTTATTTTTTATTATTATTATTATTTTTTTATATTTCCAATATAAAAAATATACTCCTCCCCTGTCAGATTCGCCATACTCCAAAAGGCTGATTAATTATATAAGAATTTAGTTCGATTAATTTCATAAGTTATAGCTCCGTATTAATTCCCACACTCTTTAAACTTGTTCTTGTTACTGGTGATTGCTTAATCATGAGTAAATAGTTAGATTGTCCCTTGATACTTGGCTCCATATTAATTCCTAAACTGTTTAAACTTGTTCTTGTTACTGTTGCTTGCTTTATCATGAGTAAATAGTTAGATTGTCCCTTGATACTTGGCTCCATATTAATTCCTAAACTGTTTAAACTTGTTCTTGTTACTGTTGCTTGCTTTATCATGAGTAAATAGTTAGATTTTCCCTTGATACTTCCAGAGTCGGTCATCGTTGACAATGTCGATTTTTTTATTATTACATGAAAGTAAAGTGCTTATTAGAAGAAAAAAAAAATGCTCGATTCATATGTGTTGTTTTAGGAGGGCAAATATCTGGGTTATTTCAAAAATTACATGCTTTAAGTTTCAACGATACTCCTATTACTAATGTGAGTTTATGTACTACCGATGTGAACATGTATCTACTGTCCTAATTATAAAAGGAATCAACTTAAATTGTACTCTTTTTTCTATTTTTCAAAGGTTGTGTCAAGAATGGTTGAAGTTTTATTTATTTGTATTTTAATCACTATTTAACATGAGACAAATCGTAAGCTGAATTAGATGGTGTTTTCTCATTTAAAACTAATACATTATATATCAGAATATGGACTTAAAAATTCTGATGTTGGCAAACTTGCTTCAATAAAAAGTGCATATGCTCCTAATAACTAGTAAATTATGGCGTCTTCCTTAGCTTTGAATTATCACTCTCCCTACTAGTGTCTTTCATTCTCCGTCTTGCTTTTTAGTGAATAGTTGCTGAATTATATTTCAGTAATATTAATACTTCTCTCCAACTTGTGAATAATTGATGAATTATCACTACAATACAACTTAAATTAGTGTCAAGCTTGGTGGTTATATAGGCTGCTCTCTTATTGAGAACTTACATTGCCTATTCAAGTGGCCAAATTTCATCAATAGCAAAAGAAAATGCTAGATGTTCTTAATCATGTTCTAATCAAATACTCCCACTACAAGCCTCAACTAAAACCACATGCTTAGCATTGACGTCCTCCACTTCATCGATGGATAAAGACCAAGGACTCAGTACCATTACTTGTTAAACAAATATAATCTAGCCGTTGGATTTTTTAGCCACGTGTCTCCTTGATATTTACCGAAATGGAGAGGATCTAAACGCATGCTTCACCCTCTGATGAACTATGGGTCCTCCCATCATCATTTCTCTTTATCTTCTCAATTTGGTACTGTGTCATTGGTCAAATATTACCCCTGCCAAAGCATAGTGTGTCACAAGCCTGTTCGTAACAACCTTGAACCTGAAACTATGGGCTTTTCCTTGCACTTACGCATGCTCAATTGAAGGTCTCGCACATGCTGTTGATTTGCTGGTCACTTTTTATACAACTATTATATACAAATCCAGTCCACATTAAATTTGGTATTTCGATCATAACCTTTCAAGCATGTTCATCCTTTTAAAGAAGAAAATAAAATATCCTTTGCACATACTACTCTCACTCTGTATTTGGTCTGGCAACCTGTCCATAAGGCCTCCATCTCCATACCAAGATACTTCCTTTTTCCATATCCCATACAGAACTAAACCTTTATTATAAAAAATAGTCATTATCAACATAACCATCAAGTGATTATGAAGGCATAAGTAATAACATTACTAACATTACCTTCGTTGATCGAAAATATATTATCATCTCTCGCTCAAGAAAGTCTTCAAGAAGTAGCTGCACAAACTAAGAACAAGAATAATTTGTCTCAGCTTCCAGTAATGCAAAAGTTACAGGGGCTATCTAATTATTATCATTCTTGCCAAGAGTTACTAGTAATTGTCCACTGCAGACATCTTACATCGTTCTAAAAATCCAATTTTATTGATGAATTACATGTACTTATAAAGTCAATCTTACATGCCTTAAAATCAGACATATATATTCTCCAACATTGGGACCTTTGCTTCTTATAACACATTTAATTATCACAATGTTGTAGGGTTTATTCTTTAGTTCTTAAGAATAGCTGATAGCTCCTCAAATGCTTATACTAATTACTTCCAACTTCTTAAATCAATTTTGGTGTCTGCATAAAATAACCACCATTCCGACTACTTAGCCCTGGTGTCTCAATAAAATATTTCCCTATTTTCCCTTAGTTTCAGCAATTAAACCTTTAACGATATTTGTGACTCAAAATGGTAATGAAGTTCTTGTTTTGATCGGCTTATTCTTTGTAATTCTGTGCCACGTGTTAGTTCCAGAAAATCTAACAACTTTAAAATAATTACTAAACATAACCTAAAGCAAAATAGGAACCATTTCATACATTTAGTGACATACTTAACTCTGATTGGTGACGGTGTTCCACCATTGAATTTTAACTCATTTTCAATTTCTTTTTTGTAATAGATTTTAACAAGTTGAAATCTGATTGTATTAAATCACAGAAGATTTGAGAGGAAGGAATTTTGGCATGTTACAACATAATATACCCATATTATGATTTTAGTTTTTATAAAAAACAAATCTTACGATTTTGGTTTCAATAAAATTGTTTCATGATTTGTCCTTAATAGTATTTTTTGTCCTTATAAAATTATAATTTTTAATATTTTCTTTTATTATAAGATATTTATTTTAATTTCTTTAATTAAAGAAACATCGAGTTTGTTGTCTAATAGATAATTGATGTCATTAGGGAACAATGACACGTCAAAACTGTAAAATAATTTTTTTTAAAAGACCACAGTCAGAAAAATCATAAAGACTAAAAGCGTAAAGAAAATACTATTTCTAGTAAAAAAAACTATTGATGTTTAAGGTAAAAATTACTCATAAATTATTTAATATTACTCAAAAATCAGTATATCTATTCTAAAATACATTCATTTAATATTTATTATTTATTACTATAACAGTATTTGCGAAATAAGACATAATTATCAAATAGGGTATGAGTGTATGTTGAAGGAAGAAAGACTTAAAAATTTGTAAAACATCAATGCTTTTGAAAAAAAAAATACTGAAATATCAACAATTTTGTATCAGAATAAGAAATATATCAATAAAAATACTGAAATATCAATAAAAATATTTTTCCTTAAAAAACAAGTATATTCAAAAATATTATTAATAATCTTTAAGGACTAAAATTATAGATTGGTTTAATTATTTATTTGATCCTTCTTATAGTTGTACAAGTTTTATCTTTTAGTTGTTACACTTAAATCGTTCATTTTAGTCTCCATACAAATACTTTTAGTTTTCTTTTAATCTTTACTGTTAAAAAATGTTAACACTTTACATTGTTGAAGTATGTTGCATTTTATGTTTTATTCTTTATTTGTAAACTATTTTTACATTTTGATCATAATACATGCGTAATCTTTACCTTTTAGTCTTTAAACTAATAAATTATTCATTTTAGTTTCTATTCAAGCAGTCTTATTTTATGCTTTAATCTCTATCAATATTTTCTCCTTTCTTCTTCCCCCTTTTTAATCTCTATCAACTTTGTGAAAATCTTAGGAATGCAGAATTATTATCTCAGTCAATATGACAGGCTGCAGATAACGATTCATGTTTGCATGCGATAGCAAGAGTCTTCCCACATCATTTTAACAGTACTGTATTCTACACGTACGAACATTAAGGTTAGCATTTAATTGGTTTTCTATATCATATAATACTTGTGACACATTTTGCCCCCTAAAGTGACCTCTAAGGGCATTGTGGCAGAAACTTGTTTTCAAATTTCTCGCGATTGATCTGTCAACTTTTTATGCGATAGTTTTACAAGTTGTATGATTGACATAATTAAAATAATACAACTGTTTAATGCATCATATATCATATTATGTAATAAAATTATAGAGAAAATAGGTAATACAAGTCTAAAACAACTTTACACCGTTGTCTAAATACAATTCCCTATTTATGGTAAGTTATTAACTTCTATAATAAATACATAAAAAATCATTATTGTTAATATCTAATTATTAAACAATATAAATTAACTTTACACTGTAACAATACAAAATCATTTTACACTATTAATATATCACCATTAAATTCTAAGATTAACACAATACAAAAGACTCAACCAACCAGTGTAAACACAAATGGCTACCTACATACTAAATGTTATCATACTCTAATTTGAGGTCTAAACGTAAGAATATAAAAGAAATACAATCGGCAGAATAAACGAAGAAAAAATATAACTAAAACAAATTTAAAATTTGTATAAAAAATTCAAAAAATACTTTTAAATTGTAGAAACTTAAAGATAAAAAGATATATAATTATAGAAACCAAAATGTAAAAAAGTAAAAATAAAAAAAAATACTTCAACATAACACGCAAAACATGCTTACATTTTTATCGGTAAAGACCAAAATAAAATTGAAAGTAATTATATGGAAACCAAAAGATTAGTATAACTAAATAAAAAAATTAAATCTTATAAATTTTAGAAACTTACCGACTTACCATTAGGTAGTAGCCAGTACGTAACCTACAATTATTAGCTGTGATATCTTTTCAACACTATCAATGGTTAAAATAAACAAATATCTACTACTGAAAAAATAAACAGATATTACATTTACAAACATAATAAATCATAATTATGTTAACATATATCAATGGATATTTTTTCATCAGCAACTGAATCAGTCCTTATCATAAAGCTACAATTTTTAACTTGCTACGATTCAAGGACATTTCATTTGAAAACATAACCCGCATCAACCTTCCAATTTTGCGATTTTGCTGTTTGAAAAAATAAAATGCATCTCGCCCTACAAGCTTACAAAAGGCTTGTTCACGTTAATCACAGCATTCATAAAATGAAATGTAATATGTTTATAAAAGTCAACATCATCAAACAGATAAAAGTTCCAACTAAGGCAAAAATCATTGCGAAATACTTAAATGAACTCGATGTATTTAAATTGCATAACCAAAAATGTTATAAAAAACGAGACTACCAAAAACTACGGTGAAGTTTAAACTTCACCATATCTCTACCAAAAAGCAGCCTATGCCGTGACAGTTGGTTTGGTAGCACTGGAAAGCTTGGATCTCCGCTTGGCCAGGCTCTCACTCCGGTGATCCCTCTGCTCCTTCAATCTGGAAGCAAGGAGTTTCTGATACTCTGCTGCTTCTGATTTTGCCTTGGCAATTCTCTTCTTCTTATCAGCAATTCTTGCTCGCTTCCTTTGGAGTGTCAAAGGAGTGACCAGTCGTTGAATCTTTGGAGCTTTGCTCACTTTTTTCCCTGCAATCAATTATCCATTACTCAGACTATAATTCATCACAAACCATGTCCAAGTTAATTCAATGTCCACGAAGAGTCCACAATAGCTGAGTGTAACAGTTCTATTATTCAAATAGATCCCTCTATCAGACCATATCATAAATATGCATTACTTGGTTTCATATTTGGAATATATCATAAATATGCATTACTTGGTTTCATTTTTGGAACAGTATAGTAGGAAATTGCTTCTCAATAGAACATGTTAAATTGTGAAGAAACACTATCAGTGGAAGTCCTGTTCTGCTTTCACTCAAAAATAAAAAAGCATTACAGGTCCACATTATAAAATACAAGATATGACAGATGAATCAAAACTTGGAACTAGGCAGTTGATACTCGATAAGCAATAGAAATGGGTTACTTAATATTTTTTTCATTACCAAATATGTTTCTCCATCTGCCCAGCATACCTAAAGAGCCTGACACAGAATTTGTGGATCTCAGAAACTTACCAGCCTTTGTTGTAAAGGTTCGACGGTATGTGTTGACATACTTTCTCACATCATCCTCCTTGGAAAGGTTGAATAGCTTTCGGATTTTGGATGCTCTCTTTGGACCCCTCATCCTTGGCTTCTCAACATCGGTCAGACCTGGCAAATCACTTTCACCCTTCTTCACAATTACCAAGTTCAAAACAGAGAGGTCTGGGCTGACAATGCACCCACGAACAGACTTCCTTCTGCGCTCTCCATTGCGCCTTCCATATCCACGGAAACAAGGAGTTCCTGCTCAAATGAAAAAAAAATCATTAACAAGTCTGCAAACTAACATAGCCGTGAGAATCCTGCAATAAATAGGCTTCTAGAAAAAGTTAAAAGTCATTGCATAAAGACATAGGCATCCTCAAATAACAACACATACACACAAAATAAGTAGACTACAAATACACAAAAAAGAAGCAGGTAGAGAAAATCAGGAATACATTCTAAAAATTATCAAGTCTGCAGCCAAATGTAGAATATGGCAGTTATACCAATGCTGCCAACATCAACCAATTATAATCATGATCTGTTAATAATTATAACCAAGCAAGAAAACAATTGATTGAAGCAGTAGAGCAATCCTACCTCTATGGAGCAAGAGTCGGACACGACCAGGGGTCAGCACTCCCTGCTTCATTGGGAATCCTTGTTTATCACACCCACCAGTGATTTTGAAAACATAGCCTTTAAACTCCTTCAGTAGCAAAATTACAGAGGTGAGTATATCATTTATTAATACTCCTCAAAAAATAGGAACAAACATTGATTTCAGATTTCCAGCTAATGAGCGCATACCTCACCCAAGGCATCACCAAGGACCTCGTGGGAGATCCTCTTGTCCCAAAATGCTCGACTGCAGTACAAAACAGGATATAACAATATAACAATATATATGCAAATCCAATAAAAAGCCACCAAAAAAAAACATAAAAAAGAACTCCACATAGCAACTACAGACTAATGTTAAAGTCATATCGACACTAATATCATGTCAACTAAAAAATTCACGTTCATGATGAATATCTATAAACGTATGGAGATGCAAGTAAACTACTTGCACTACAGTTATAGAACAGGTTAAATATAAATCTAACAAATTTAATTAAGAAAAAAAAAAAGGCAATCATAATAAGAATGCAACGATTAAACTCAAAATCTATGGCAATTTCGAAACCACAAACAATAAAAGTCCCAAACAGGAAGAGCACAAAGTAACATTGAAGTAAATTTTCGTTTCTGAGCATCGCCACATTAAAGTGACGTTTTTTCTTCTGCAACATAATTGAAAAATAAAGAAAAAGTTATAAAAATAAATAAATAAATAAATAAAACTTACAGCTTCTGGTCGTCATCAATTTCCAGCTTCTTCTGGCATCCAGTGGTGGGGTTTGCAATGTTAAACTGCAGAAAAAGGGAACATGTTACAACGACAAACACGGGAAAATCCGAACAAGGAAGCAATTAGGGTTAGAGAGAAGACCTTCATCTTGGAATCTGGTCCTGATCTCGCCGCGCCTAACTCGCTGCGTGCGTTTGGAAACTATAACATACGGCAAAACTCGGTAACGACAACAAGAGATAGGGTTTTGCACAGTTTGGGCTTTTATATCTACTGCACTGTTTTGGGCCCCCAATTGAGCTTAACAAACCAAAACCCGCAGGTATCCATACGCTCATGATATATACACCTCTATTTTTTTTACAAGTACACCTCTTTTATTTTTTTAAAAAAATTATAAAATATTGTAATTTTTTTTAATTTTTCTAATTTTGCACCTTCAACTTTTAATTTGCTACTTTCTTTTTTTCATACACTTTTTGTTCTCTTTCAATTTTCACATATTAACAAAATAGATGAGATGAAAGAAAGGTAAGAAAGTACATATAAAAATTAAAAAAAAAATATAGAAAAAATGTGTGAAAAAAGGTACTAAATAAAATGTTATAGGTGTAAAATTAAAAAAAATTAAAATTTTTTTTAAAAATTTTAATTATTTTTTTAAAAGGAGGTATACTTATAAAAAAAAGGAGGTGTATATATCATCAACCTTCCTTAAATTTGATTGACGGCCCAAGTCTCTTTGTCTTCAACTTAATATATAATCTATAAATCTATTGAACAACTTCTTCCCTTAAAAAAATGAATATTTATATATTTTATATTAATTAAATTACATTTATATTAATTATTAGAAAATAAATATCATTTTAAAAAATGAAGAATATCAAGATTATAAGAATAGTATGGTCGAGATATTTCTTGTATTTATATTTATTTAAAGATTTAAAGATGTTTAAAATTATTAATATTTGTTTAATCAATCAAAATTATGTTTATAAGGTCATGAATTTAAGTCTTGAATTTATTTAATTTTTAATCTTATTTAAATATTTAAGAATAAAATAATCTAAAAATTATGTATATAAAAATAAAGTATTTCCTTTATAATAAGTATAAATAGAAATATTTTAATATTTGTTTTTGATAAATATTTCATAATATGAATAAGATATATATATATATATATATATATATATATATACTTCAAAAATATATATGATTTTATATTTTTAAATTTTATATGTGAATAAAAAAATTATAGGAAAATTATTATAGATTTATATTACAAGCTACTATATTTTATATTTGTAATATGTAAATTATTGTAATTTATATAAAAATTAATGTACTTATTATATTTGATATCATTTTTAAAATTGTAAAGCTAACAATTCTTTTCACACTCTTTTTCTCCAAAACTTTTCACTAAAACATATAAAAAAAATTGTGCTAAAAAATAAATAAAGAAAGAAATGGATAAAAAAAAATATGCATTTGATATTTTTAAAGTAATTAAATATTATCGGATGCTACATTAACATTTTTATTAATAATTATTAATTATAAAAATTATTAATCATTACTACTGCTTGATTTAAAATTTAAATAAAAATAAAAAAAGAATGACAACATAAGATAACATAAGATAATTTGGATCATAAAATTGCAGAGGCTAGGAACAATGGTGATTTGCTAGATCTTAAGGTTGAAGAGTCTGGCTTATTGGAGGAGGAGGTTGTTCAAAGGGGGGAATGGTGTGAACAACTTTGCCATCTTATGTCCATGAAAGATAGTTTGCTCTGTTAGAAGTCAAGGCTTAGGTGGTTGAGAGAGGGGGATGCTAATACCAATTTTTCCCATGGCTATATTAATAAGAAAAGATTGAAGAATAAGATTAGAGCTTTACTAATAAATAATGTGTGGTATCATGATTTAGTTACAATGAAAGAGGGGATCAAGAGTTATTTTGAGCAACATTTTGAGGAGAAGATGCATTACAGACCTTGTATTGAAGGGGTACACTTTCAGCAATTATCAGAGAAAGATGCTACTATGTTGATTATGCCTTTCTTTGAGGAGGAGGTGAAGGAAGCTGTATGGGATTGTGAAGGTGCAAAAAGTCCAGGACTAGATGGATATAATTTTAACTTTATTAAAAAAATTTGGGATATTCTCAAAACTAATTTTTTCAGCTATGGTGCATGAATTCTATATATATGGCAAATTGGTGAAAGGGTCAAATAGCTCGTTACTTGTGTTAGTCCCAAAAACTATAGTCCGCAGAAAGTGGAAGAGTATAGACCTATTTCTTTAATAAGGTGCATCTATAAGGTTGTGGAAAAGGTGCTGGCAAACAAGCTACATAAGGTGATTAGTAGCGTCATTTCATATTATCAATCAGCTTTTTTAAAAGAAAGATTCATTTTGGATGGGATTTTGATTGCTAATGAAGTTGTCGAGGAGATCAAAAGATAGCATACAAGTAATTTGCTTTTTAAAGTAGATTTTGAAAAGGCTTATGACTCAGTTAATTGGGAGTTCTTGCAGTTCTTTATAGAGAGGATGGGGTTTCCTTCTAAGTGGAGAATGTGGATACAAGAATGTTTGAGTACTGCCAGAGTCTTCGTCTTGTTGAATGGTAGCCCTTCTAGCGAGTTTGGGGTTGGGAAGGGGTTGAGACAAGGAGATCCGCTAGCACCTTTTTTGTTCCTTATTGTTGCTGAGGGATTTCATGCTTTGATGGCTAAGGCAGTTGAGTCTCAAGTGTTCGTTGGCTATAAGGCTGGTCAAGAGGCAGTGCTAGTTTCTCACTTGCAACATGCTTATGACACTCTAGTTATTGGAAAGGCCTCATTGCAAAATATTTGGGCTATTAAGGCTATTTTTCAGTTGTTTGAGGTAGTTGCAAGACTTAAAGTCAATTTCCATAAGAGTAAACTATATGGAATCAATGTGAATAGAGAGTTGTTAGATGGAATGGCTATTTTCTTAAATTGTAAAGTGGGTTCTCTACCTTTTTCATACTTGGGTCTACCAATTGGTGCAAATCCGAGATTGCTGAAGATGTGGGATCTGGTAATTAGTAAGGTGCAAAAGAGATTGTCTAAGTGGAAAGGAAAAAAATTATCATTTGGAGGCAAAAGTGTTCTCTTGAAATCTGTTTTGCATTCCATCCCGATCTACTATCTCTCCTTCTTCAAGGGTCCGACAGGTATTATTACAAGACTAAAATCTTTATTTAGAAGATTTCTTTGGGGTGGAGATGAGGATCATAGTAAGATTGTGTGGGTTGCTTAGGATGATGTGTGTAGGGACATAAGGCATGGGGGATTGGGCATCAAAGATTTAAGGGGTTTTAATCTTGCATTGATAGGGAAATGGAGGTGGAGGCTTTTAGTAGATAAGGGGAGGTTGTGGAATAGGGTGTTAGCTTCTTTATATAGAAACATACTTGAGAGAGAGATAGATGGGGTGGGTAAGGGTTCTAATTGGTGGGTTGATTTGTGGAGAATTGACAAGGGAGAGTTAATTATTGATGGTTGGTTTTCTAGTAGGTGTAATAAGGTTGTAAGGGATGGGATAGATACATGTTTTTGGTAGGAGGCTTGGTGTGGCCCAACAACTTTTTGTGTAAAGTATAAAAGGCTATTCTCTATTGTGACTAATAAAAGTGCCACCATTGTTGATTTGAGGGTAATAGTGGATGGGGACGAAGTGTGGAATTGGTCCTAGAGGCGAAACCTCTTTCAATGGGAAGGTGAACTATTACAACAATTGGAAGCTGACATTGATTTCCTGCCCCTGCAACCGGGAGTCAACAACCATTGGGTCTAGTCAGCTTCGAAAGATGGTGAATCTTCTATGAGGTCAGCTTACAATGTCATTGTGAATAAGGACATGTTTGCTAAATTTCCTCTATATAATTACCTATGGTTCAAGTTTCTTCCTTCAAAAGTGTTTGGCTTTGCTTGGCGATCTATGCTTAATAAATTACCAACAAAACAAAACTATTCTACAAACTGGAGATTGATACTGTATTTTGTGTGGCCATGATCAGGAGACAGTGTCCCGTTTATTTTTTGAATTCCCTTTTGCTTATTGCATATGGATGTTGTGTTTAAATTGGTTTGGTATAAAGTTTGTGCTCCATAATTCTTGTCACCTTCACTTAGCACAGTTTTTTGGTTTACCTATTTGCTCTAATGTGGATCAGTTAAGATGGTCAAGTATGTGGATGACTGTTTTATGGTCTCTATAGATTGCTAGGAATGAGACTATTTTCTCTGATAAGTCACATTACATTCTGACTTATTGGAGTTGATTCAAATACGTTTTTGGAAGTGGTTTAAGGCTAAAGATCTTTCTTTCCAATATTCCTTTTCATCATGGGTTAGTTCCCCTACTATCTGTCTAAATTTTTTCGACATATATTCGGTTTTTGAGCATCTGAGTATGTAGGGTGAGATTTTGTAGTTGATTGTGCCTAAGCTACTAGCAATATTATACTTGTGGGAGATCACATATTGTTATCATCAAGGTTATCAATCATTGTCCTTGTGTGAAATTTATGGTAAATCACTTAGTAATTGCTTAGGTGTTGTATCTTCTTTTGTTGCGGTTGTAAAATAGGCACCGTGTTTTTAGTTGTTGTAAGTATTATTTGGCCTATTGTATTTGTATATGGATTAGAGTACCCCTTGTACTATTTTTTAATAAATCTCTTTCGGTGAGAAAAAAAAAAAGATAACTTTGTGCAAAATTAACAATAAAAAGGGATGTAGTATTAATAAATAAAAATTTGAACAAAAATTGTAAATATCTTTCATTGTTTAATCCATCTATAATTTATAAATTTATAATTTGTAATAAATAGTATAAAATGAACAACTTCTTTAAAGTATTCTTTCTTCTAAAATTCTTCCAGGATAGTGTCCCATCCTATTTTTTGGCCTAATCTCAAACAAAAAAAATGTCAAAACACATTTAGTTTCCTATATTTATTGCTCACTTATTCTGGACATTTATTTTGTCATATTTATTTTCCACATATTTTAAAAATTCATTTTTTCCATGTTTCTTGTTCACACATTCTAAAAACTTTAGGAGTGTACCAAATTGAATGTCCATTCACAAAAATTTAGTCACACGTGGATTTTCACATTCTTTTTTTTTTTTTGAATAATTGACACATTAAAATTATTTACAAAAATTAACACATGTATAAGTAATCACAACCAATTATAAATTCAAATCAAGTAAACATTATAAATTCATGTAAGTT